GTGGGTTTCAACCTTAACACAGCAACCTTCTAATACATTGCATTATGGTGACCCCAGGCTGTAAAAGTTATTTTTGTGGCTACTTTGTAACTGTAATTTTGCTAATGATATGAATCCTAATACAACTATATACATGTTTTCTTTTTATAAATCTTTATTTATTTGTTATTTATGAGTACACTGTCTGTCTTGAGACACACCACAAGAGGGCATCAGATCCCATTACAGATGGTTGTGAGCCACCCTGTGGTTGCTGGGAATTGAACTCAGGACCTCTAGAAGAGCAACCGGTGCTCTTAACCGCTGAGCCATCTCTCTGGCCCGCTATTAACATTTCCTGAAGGTCCTAGGTGGCCTGGGGGGTCTCCACTCACAAGTTGAGAACCACTATTCTAGAAGCTTGCAAAGGGGAGAAAGGAGAACACCCGCGCTGGGGATGGTGAGTGAAAGTGACTCCCGTCCCCCGCAGGGGTTGGGGTGGGGGCTGAAAATGGTCGAGTTGCTCTGGCAGCTTATCTCCCAGGAACTACATTCAGCAGATTTCATATTTGTTTTTAGAGTCCTGTGCCTGAACTGTGGGGAGCAGACTGCCCGCAGGGAGCTTCAGGACCGCTTCCAAGCCCTGAACCCCAGCTGGAGCGCGGAGGCGCAGGGCGTGGCCCCCGACGGCGACGTGTTCCTCACGGAGGAGCAGGTCCGGAGCTTTCAGGTCCCGTGCTGTGACCGATGCGGCGGCCCTCTGAAACCGGACGTCGTTTTCTTTGGGGACACGGTGAACCCAGACAAGGTTGACTTCGTGCACCGGCGTGTGAAAGAGGCCGACTCCCTGCTGGTGGTGGGATCCTCGCTGCAGGTACCTGACTCTGTCAGGGTGGCGGTTGCCCTTGCCCACCTTACAGGGTGAGAACTAGAGGTACCCTCTTATCTGGGTTTCATTTATTAGCCTTCTGGCCTGTGTGCTTGCGTGCGCATGCGTGTGTGTGTGTGTCTGTATGTGTGTATGGGTGTAGGTCAGAGGACAACTTGGTGGGGGCCAGTGCTCACCTTCGCGCCTTTGATCGTGTGGGGTTTGGGGAGCTTGAACTCGGGTTATCCAGCATGGTGGCAAGCCCCTTTACCTGCTGAGCTGTCTCACCAGCCCCTCTTTATCCTTTTTTGTTTGTTCGTTTTTGTTTCCGAGGGCTGCGGGGTGGTTCTTTTCCCAGATCTCGAGCGATCACTCTGATCTGCCCGGGCAGGTGTACTCCGGTTACAGGTTCATCCTCACTGCCCGGGAGAAGAAACTCCCGATCGCCATTCTGAACATCGGACCCACGCGGTCTGATGATTTGGCTTGCCTGAAGCTGGATTCCCGCTGTGGAGAGTTGCTGCCGTTAATAGACCCACAGAGACGGGACTCTGAGGTTCACAGGCTGGAAATGGGCTTTCCTTTGAGTCCCGCTGCTAAAGGTAAAGAAAGCCTTCTCATATGAAAGGGTTTAGCCAGGTGTAGAGGCTCGTGCTTGTGATCCCAGCCCTCAGAGGCTGATGAAAGCGGGTGACCTGGAGTTCAAGGCCAGTGAATCTGGCCACAGACTGTGATACCCCTAACTTCAAACAAAACAAAAGCCAGGTGACAGATGCAGGCAGCTTCCTGTTACACCAGGTAGTCAGGTGCCTGACAAAAGAGACAATTCTAGACTTCTTTTTTTTTGAGACAGGGTTTCTCTGTATAGCCCGGGCTGTCCTGGAACTCACTCTGTAGACCAGGCTGGCCTCGAACACAGAAATCCACCTGCCTCTGCCTCCCAAGTGCTGGGATTAAAGGCGTGTGCCACCACTGCCCGGCTCAATTCTAGACTTAACATATGACTTTTTTTTTTAATTAAAATGACCTTTAAAAAAATACAGTGATGGTTTTATTTGGGGAGGTGGGGTGTCAAGACAGACCACCAGAAGAGGGCATCAGGTTGTGAGCCATCATGTGGTTGCTGGGAATTGAACTCAGGACCTCTGGAAGAGCAGTCAGTGCTCTTAACCACCAAGCCATCTCTCCAGTCTGGCCACCTGGTTTTTAATGGGAAGGTGGTGGAGGGATGTTTCTTCTACCCCGTTTCCAGTTTATTTATCTTGGCATTAACTTGTTTCATTTCTTTTCAGATCCCTAAAGGACTCCCCCCTCCCCCCTCCAATAGTGGAAGCTTACTGAATGCATCTATAGAGGCGGGGAAGCCACGCCTAGAGGCCAGTCCGCCTCTGCATCCTCCTACTTACAGAGATGAGAGCTGCTCCCAAAAGAAAGACTTTTCCAAAGAAGTACCTGCTCTTGATGGAGTAGCTGTGTCACCGTCATGTCACCAGGAAGAAGGATCAGTCAGAAGTCCGTAAACCACAACAGTCTGTGAAGATGCCACTCATTCAGGCATAACCAGAAGGGCATTTATAATAATGAACACATAATTCCACATGGGTTGTGTCTGGCTGAAGCACTTTGATATTTCTGACGACGTGAGCAAGAACAAACACGGATTTTTTTTTTTATTCACCAAATAATAAATTATTTTTATTAGCATACCAAGTGTGTGGACCGTGAACTTACACACATTTTTTTTAACCAGCTAAGAAGGAAGCGGGCTTTATGCTTCTGTGCTGGGGGGATTTCTACTTGATGTTAGCTGGCTAAAGGTGACGCCTATCTTGAACCTGGCTTGTAGAGAGAACAGCTAATTCTCTGTGGGCTCTTCAGCTGACTTTTTTGATTACAAACCTCACTGGAAGGAATTGGTGTACCCCCAAACAGGAGGCACACAGGAGGCACACAGGAGGCACACAGGAGGCACACTCTACTTCAGAAAGATTCATGTCAGAGTTGAGGTCATACTTATCCTGCACCAGTCTTAGGAGCAATCTCAGCTCTTGAGTGGCCGAATGAAGATGTTGGGAACTGTTCTCTGAAAGAGTAGGCAGGGCTCTTAACTGCTAAGCCATCTCTCTAGCCTGCCTTTGCCTCCTGGGATTAAAGGCATGTGCTACATATCCAACCTTTTTTTTTTTTTTAAAGTTCCGTTTATGTATTTTAGTATATGGGTACTTTGTCTGTACATGTGAAGACTAGGAGAGAGTCAGATCCCATTGTAGATGGTGAGCTGTCCTGTGAGTGCTGGGAATTGAACTCAGGGCCTCTGGAAGAGCAGCCAATGAATGCTCTCAGCTACTGAGCCATCTCGCCAGGCCCTTCATTTCCTTTTTATATACTTTAGTTAAAAACAATTCACAGCCAAGGTGGTGGTGGTACAGATCTTTAATCCCAGCACTCAGGAGGCAGAGGCAGGTGGATCTCTGAGTTTGAGGCCAGCCTGGTCTACAGAGTGAGTTCCAGGACAGCCAGGGCTACACAGAGAGATCCTGCCTCAAAAAACCAAACCAAACAACAGCACCAAATCACAAATGTTAAAGAGTCAAAACAAGCCGGGCGGTGGTGGCGCACGCCTTTAATCCCAGCACTTGGGAGGCAGAGGCAGGCGGATTTCTGAGTTCAAGGTCAGCCTGGTCTACAGAGTGAGTTCCGGGACAGCCAGGGCTACACAGAGAAACCCTGACTCGAAAAAAACAAAAAGAAAGATGACATTACTTGAGGACAGGTGTCTCTGTGTGTGTAGCTTACTGTTAACAGTTTGCTTAGCATGTGTGGAGCCGTAAGTTCAATCGATGGCATCATAAACAAAACAAAACCCTGAAAAGCAAGAATCTTGAAACATGGTCCTAGTTTGCTTTCTGTTGCTGTGGTAAACACCATGACAAAAAGCAACTTGGGGAGAAAGGGTTTATTTTACCTTATAGATTACTACCCAGCACTGAGGGATGCTGAGAGAGGAGCTTGAAGCAGAAGCCAAGGAGAACTGCTTTCTTACACAACCCAAGACCGCCTACCTAGGGATGACACCGCCCACAGTGGGCTGGGCCCTCCTTCATCTATCAAGAAAATGCCCAAGAGATATTCCTACAGGCCAATACGTTAGAGACAATCCTTCAGAGGACGTTTTCCTTTCCCAGGAATATGTCAAGCTGGCTCAGGAGTTAAGAGCACTTTCTGCTCTTCCAGCGGACCTGGGTTCAATTCTCAGCACCCATATTCTCAGTGGCTGTCGAACAATGTCTGCTGGCCCAAGGCCCTCTCGCCTTTGCCTGTGCGTTCAGCCGTCTCTCATGCAGCCCCCTGACACTACAGCACCTCCTTTCTCCATTCCTCACCTCTTACAAGGATAGAAACCATGTAGGGGTTCATGCTCAAGGTTCCATTATCCTTCCAGTCGGATTCTGGACAGCCATTACAAGCTACTACCGGTCACTGCGCCTGCGCAGACGGCTGTAGCAGCAGCTGTGACCGCCCAGGCCTGATCTTTGGGAAGGAAGGGATGGGTAAGTAAAGGAAAAAATGAGAGATCAAGTACCACGTGTCCTCACACTAGCCAATCAGACATCTGACTCCGAAACCCGTTGACTAGGGAACCAGAGGTTAACCTGGCCGTGCGCACAGGATCGCAGGATTACGCGGTATAAAAGGTCTAGACGACCGCGTGTATCTCAGGCTGGCTTCTAAGTCACTATGTAGCTGAGGACGACCGGAAGCTTCTGCTCCTCCCGCCCCCGCCTTCTGAGTTGCCGGGTTTACAAGCGTGTGCCCATGACCAGTTTTATTCAATATTGGGAGTCGAACCCAGTTCCAGAGCCCACTCCCACCCTACCATTTTGTTCCAAAGATAGATGGTTATCCCTGGAACTCAAGTCTGTAGACCAGGCTGGTCTCAAACTCACAGAAGCCTACCTGCCTCTACCTCCTGTGCGCCGGGATGAAAGGCGTGTGCTACCATCACCCGGATTGGGATTATTGTTCACTCTAGAGGTGCTTGATTCCTGGAAACTTGTTCCTATTCATCTTCAGCTTCCAAGGCTAGGTGGAATGCTTTCCTCTGAGGATCTAGCTATACTCGGCGGACAGAGACTACAGTCACCAAACCCAGGCTCGTTCACGCAGATACTTTATTAAGAGGGCGTGGTGCGCAGTAAAACAGCGAGGTGGGCAGGGACAGCGTAGGCGGGAAGGGAGGAGACAGCCTAACAACGTTCCTTGGTGTCAAGATCTTTGTTTTCTTTGTTGTACGGGGCCTTGGAGAAGCAGATGGCAGCCTGGCGGTCACAGTTGCAGATGAACGCCTCACAGTCGTTGTTTTTGTCTGGAGAGAAACAAGAACGGAGAATCGAGTGGAGCCCATGACCCGACATGACCCGGATTGAGTACAATTCCCAGCAACCACATGGTGGCTCACAACCATCTGTAATGGGATCCGATGCCCTCTTCTGGCCTGCAGGTGTATGTGCAGATACTTGTCCATCAAATCTGCTGCCCTCTTCTGGTGCGTCTGAGGTCAGCTACTTATATATACATCAAGTAAATAAATATAAATCTTTTTTTTTCCCCTTTGGTTTTTCGAGACAGGGTCTCTCTGTGTCGTCTGTAGACCAGGCTGGCCTCGAACTCGGAAATCCGCCTGCTTCTGCCTCCCAAGTGCTGGGACTAAAGGCTTGTGCCACCACCGCCCAGTATAAATAAATATTAAAAAAAAAAGAATCCCCTGTCAAAATTTTGTGTAAACAATGCTCACTATTTAGTCTCTGACTTGTTAATAAAAGCTGGAGAAGCCAATAACTACGCAACAGAGAGAACAGAGCCGGACTTGTGGGAGGAGAAAGGATTCAGAGGCAGGGGGATTGAGCAGGAGGAAGGAGGAAGGAGATCAACATGGAGCATGGAAGGCCCTAAGTGCAAGGATTTTGGAGATTTTGGCTGGGAGGTAGAAAAGTTAGATTAGAGGATTAGAATAGGCGTGAGATCCTGTGTAAACCGCCCCCCCATAAAGTAAACAAAGAGTCAGCAGCGGCGAGTGGGAGCTGACCTCTGCTCCACACGATACCCCTCACAACAGCGGCGATCAAGACTCTTTTTCTTTCTTTTTATTTTTATTTTTTTTTTTCGTTTTTTTGAGACAGGCGGATTTCTGAGTTCCAGGCCAGCCTGGTCTACAGAGTGAGTTCCAGGACAGCCAGGGCTACACAGAGAAACCCTGTCTCGAAAAACAAAAACAAAAAACAAAAAACAAAGCATAGTAACTGTACATTAAAAGTCTGTCTGAGCCTGGGTCCCATCCCCAGGACACATGGTGGAAGGAGAGAATGGACTCCTGAAAGTTGTTCTCACACCCCCACAGGTGTGTTATGCCATAGGCATGCCTCCCATAAATACATAAACATTTTTTAAATGTTGGCGCACTAAACGGTGACTGTCCGTGTTCTTCCCTCCCCCTTCCTAACCTGCCAAAGGCCAGGCAGAGTCCAGAGGTCCCGGAAGGTAACCTTACCACTGCAGGTGATCTCATTCCCGGAGCACTTGAATGAGTACGTGTTGGTGTAGGGGTTGTCTATGAGGAATTTACAGCTTTTCAGCTTCTTAGCCTGAGTGTAGCAGTGGTCATGAGTCTGGCAGCACCTGGAGAGAGGAAGGAACAACTGAAGGAGGGATACGAACCCGCTGGAGGTCGGTTTTCACTTGCAGTCTTTCTCAAACAGGCGAGGCTAACTTGAACACAACGTTCCAGAAGCAATGGCTCGAGAATGACTCGAGAATCTGTGATCTCGAGGCTGGAGAGATGGCTCACAGTGGTTAAGAGCACTGATTGTTCTTCCAGAGGTCCTGAGTTCAATTCCCAGCAACCACAGGGTGGCTCACAACCATCTCTAATGGGATCTGATGCCTTCTTCTGATGTGTCTGAAAACAGCTACAATGTACTCATGTAATAAAATAATTAAAAAAAAAGAATCTGTGATCTCTATTGTTTTTTGTTTTTGTTTTTGATTTTTGTTTTTTGAGACAGGGTTTCTCTGTGAGCCCTGGCTGTCCTGGAACTCACTCTGTAGACCAGGCTGGCCTGGAACTCAGAAATCCGCCTGCCTCTGCCTCCCAAGTGCTGGGATTAAAGGCGTGCGCCACCACCGCCCAGCTCTGTGATCTCTATTATCATATATTTATTGAAAGCCACTTTTGTCAGGTATGGTGGTGCCCGCTTTTATTCGATCCCAGGACATGGGAGGCGGAGATAGGTGGATTGGATCTCTGAGTCTGAGATCAGCCAGGACTATATAGCAAGACCCTGTCTCAAAAAATAATTTTTTTAAGCTACAGGAATACAGTGAAATTATAAGTTCTGAAGTTGCCGTGACGTTTTAAAGCCAAGGTTGACATGTAGATGGTTGGCAGTACCCGGTTCTGCCGCTAGAGGGCAGCATTGCACACTTTACATTCACACTCTCCACTTTCTGGGACCACTAGATACAGGGGTCCTCTTGGACCGATTTCTCTACACAAGAGGTGAAAACATATGCTGGGCGTTGTGATCCACGCCTTTAATTCCAGAACTCAGGAAGCGGAAGCTGGAGGATATCTGAGTTCACAGCCAGAGAGAGTCTCAGGACAGCTAGGGCTACACAGAGAAACCCTGACTGGAAACAAACGAGCAAAAGTAAATAATAACTAAACAAAATGAAAATACACGATGCTCAGTGACCGTGCACGGCTCCCCTTTCCTGCCTCTCGAGACGTGATTGGCTTGCTCTCTGGCCCCACCCCCGTGTTCACACTCCAGTCTCCCACCCCGTGGACCACTCACCTGTCTAATTCGTCCACTGGGGTGCCTGAGCCGCCCAAGCCACAGAAGCAGCCGTAATTGTTGTACTCCTTCAGGGGATCGCTCCCGGGGATGGTGCACTTGATCATATTGCGGAACTGCCACACAGCCCGAGTGGTGATGCTGTGGGCAGTAGCGCCTGCTGCAAGAGTATACAGCACATTCAAATCCATCCCTCGTCGATAGCAACTTTCCTGCCTCAACCTCTCCGAGTTGTAGGATTATAAATAAATGAATACCATTGTACTGGGCTGGGATACCTCTCCGACATCAAGTTATATAAAGATTGCCTTTTACTTTGCTTGCCTTCTTACTGTTAGGGAAGACAGCCACCACACCGTGAGCTGCCCCGTGGTCTCTGGAAGAGGTGAGAACGTGCTCTGCTCTGGCCAACAGCCAGGGAGGAAGTTTGAAAGCAGTTCTACCTTTGTTCAAGCCTTGGTGAAATCCTAGCCCTAGCCAGCACGAGGCTTCTTCATGGTCCTAGCAGGGATCCTGAGCCCCAGAAGCAGCCAATACACACATGCTTACTGTTTTACACTGGCAGAGTTAGAAGGAGTCTGCGGTGTGGGCGGGCACAGCTAATAAACACATTTAATCGTCAGATCATCCTCCGTGATGTCAGCATATTGACATAACACTGACAATCAACTCGGGAGTAGATAAGTATGTCAGGATTCAGACAGTGGGATAGTTGGCGGCCATTAGAATGAAGGAGAAGCCAGGTATGGTGGTACACACACTGTAATCCCACAATTCTGGAGGTTGAGGTAAGAGGATCAGAAGTTCAAGGTTATCCTCTTACAAGGCAAGTTCAAGGCTCTCTCGGGTTGTGTGAGACCCTGTTTCAATCAAGCAAGACAGGGGCTGGGGACTGGGTTCCACTGGTATCATGCCTGCTGCCAGGTATGCACAAAGTCTTGGCGTCCTTCCCTCTGCAGCACTGAATGGTGAGTATGAGGCTAGCCTGGGCTACACGTTAATCTGCCTCAGGAAGAGAAGTTGGAGGCGAGGGAGGGAAGGATGATCGGATGGTGTAGTGCTCAGTGCCTCCCATACCCCGGAACTGCCAACAGGAAGGGGATCAGTAGGTAAGTAGGTCCGAGCGGAAGCTGGGTCAGCGTGAGCCAATTCTGAGTTCCTCTCACCGCGTCCTTCAGGACTGTGTTCATAAATGCACGAATGCCCTGGATTTCCCTCAGCCTCAGGGTCTGTCCTGCATCTCAGCCTGAAGCTTCTCACTCCCAAAGGTCTGGGACTCCACCTCATCTCTTCTTTCCCTCTGCTTCCACTCCTGCCCAGGTCACCCATGGACAAGTGCCCGGAAGTACTTCAAGCTCACCTCTTCTGAGCCACTCTCGGAGAGTTTCTGGACTGAATACTGATTTATTTTTAATCCTTTCCTTCCTTCCTTCCTTCCTTCCTTCCTTCCTTCCTTCCTTCCTTCCTCCTCCTCCTCTTCCTCCTCCTCCTCCTTCTTCTTCGTCTGCCCATATAGTCCAAGCTGGTCTTAAATTCTCAATCCTGCCTCGACCTCCTAAATGGCTAGAGAGAGCTCGGCTCCAATGCTTGCCCATTAAAGAGGACATTCCGGGCCATACACCCAAGCAGTGCCTCTGCTGTGGCTTCTCGCCATGTTCTTTTTGCTTCACAGTACTGCCATTTGTGTTTGGATTCATATATGTGTGTGTGCATGTGTGCATGTGTAGGTAGAGGGCAGAGTTCAACATCTGGAATCTTAATTCACTCTCTTATGTTTGACACCAAGTCTCTCAGTGAGCTGGGAGCTTGCTGATTGGCTGTGGTGACTGAACGGCAAGCCCCAGAGATCTTCCTGTGTGTGATATGTATTTGTGTGTGGTATGTATGTGTCTGTGTGTGGTGTGGTGTGGTGTGTATGTCTGTGTGTGCTTGTTCGTGTGGTATGTGTGTCTGTGTGTGTGGTGTGTCATGTATATGTGTGTGTGTTGTGCTGTATATGTTTGTATGTATGTGCCTGTGTGTTTGTATGTTTGTATGTGTGGTTGTGTGTGTGGTATATCTGTTTGTGTGTATGTGGGGTGTGTGTGATGTATGTATGTTTGTATGCGTGTGGGTAGTAAGTATATCTGTGTTTGTGTGTATGTGGTGTGTGTGGTATAGGTGTGTTT